TGATAAATTAACATTTTCTGTGCCAGCTGCTTACGATATTGTTTGAAATTTTCAATTACAGGCATTCCGGTGGTTTCGCCTTCTCGAAAGACCAAGGCATAGAGGACGACTTACAGATACCCAACCGAGTACTCACCTCCTTTTAAGTTCGGCATCAAAATAATGCTATTATTTCCGTCTTGCATCTGTTTAGGCTTCTAGGTTTGTTATGGTGGAGCACTTTGTTGGTCGACGTTTCGAATAGAATCGTCGTTTTCAAGACCTCTTACGGCTTCACCAGTACTGCTCCCCGCTCGGCTCGAAAAGTTTTTCGCCAGCTCTTCACGGAGCCGAGCGGGGATCAGTACTGGTGAAGCCGTAAGAGGTCTTGAAAACGACGATTTGTTCGAAACGTCGACCAATAAAGTGTTCCACCATAACAAACCTGGAAGGCTAAACAGAAGCAAGACGCAATCGGAATGCCCAGATTTCAAGAAGACCGAACATGGAACATGCGATCATTTCCCTCGACACATCGACCCAGACGTGGAAAGTTCGTGTGTCCCAGGCAAAATGTGATTCTACCTCTAGTGAGAAGGCTAGTTCTCTGCAGCTGAGGGAATCAGCAGTCACGGACATAAAAGAAAACTGGCCAAATGTTTTGAAATCTAGAAACTGTCTACAAACAGTAGGCAAACTTTCTCAAGAATGCGGAGGTATATCCAAAACTTGATCCCGGCTGCATTCGTACCCGCGTTAGGCTGACGAGCGATCCGCTCCATTCGCTAACTATGACATCGGTCTTAGAAGTGAGTTGGAGCCCCGCCTGAGGCCAAGTTTTACCCATACTTCATCATTCTTGTGAAACTGTGCATTGAAACTGCTGAATCAAAATACAGTCAATGAACAGAATAAGTCAAAATTACAATTGATAAACTAATAAAATGATCAGAAAACAGGAGCAGATGCTCCAGCGAGGGCGGGCCACGTGTCTCTCGGTAGCCGTGGCCAGCCATTTTCCTGGTTACTAGGCACATAGCTGCGTCAGATCCTAGTCACCACACTTGGCTCATCGATTCAGCTCCGTCCCAGTCATTTCCTTGATTAAGACCCCAGGTAACTTTTAATTAATGATGTGACGTCAAAATGGTGTGGATTCACTCCATTTGAATGGTTACCGCTAATTCTTCAACACCCGTCGGTTGAGTGTAGTCCTTTCTGGTCATCGCTCCTTTCGCTTTTATTAAAGGAAATGTCAGCAGACTTTCTAAATTGTTACGAACCCATTTTTGGGTGCTCGTTCGTTGTTGTTTGTGAATTCATTCTATGAGCCCGTTTTACAAAGATATCTCAAAACTTACGGAATACTTTTAACGTGACGCCCCCCCCCCACCATTTTCGCATACCCTCCAGTGGCCGAAAAATGTGACCCATACACTGTCGCCAGTGTGTTATACGTTTTGACGTTCATTCCGTGCAACGGGCGAAAAACAGTTCCGATCAAGTTTTCTAGTGACAGACAGTGGTTGACAAACATGAAGTCAACAGTTTAACTGATGCCAATTCTAACCGTTTCTTTTGCAACTATATAGCTTCCGATTATGGGTCTTCTTTTAAGGTTTTACCTCAATAGTGTCGCGTTTTGATTGATGTGAATTTCCAGATTCGAAGTCTCGGACTAACCAGGAAAGGCATTCAACTTCCCATGGAACTTTGAGATGAGACCCAGATATATCGATAGAGCTTCAAACGCTGATTACAAATATGGAAACTAAAACTGCAAAATGAACCTGCCAAGGAAGTTGTGAGCAGTCAAAGTTGGCTGGAAGTAAAGCATTCACACCGTGCTCCGGGCTTTCAGAGTCGCCGCGGAGCAGTGGTGGTGCCCTCGCTATTCACCCTGGAGGTCATAAGCTCTCCTCCCGTCGGAGCGCAAATTCCGAGAGCACTACCACTACTCCACGGCGACTTTGAAAGCCTGGAGGCTAGTGTAATGCTTTACTTCCAGCCAACTTTGACTGCTCACAACTTCCTTGGCAGGTTCATTTTGCAGTTTTAGTTTCCATATTTGTAATCAGCGTTTGAAGCTCTATCGATATATCTGGGTCTCATCTCAAAGTTCCATGGGAAGTTGAATGCCTTTCCTGGTAAGTGTGGTCCAGTCGTGTTCTCTTTCGTAAGAGTCTTCAGCCTACATTTCTGTGTATGCTCCAATTCTACCGGAACGCCTACAGCGTTGACCAAGCGATATACCGCAATACACTGAATGTAAATTTCACCAATTACAGCTCCTACTGTTGTTAATGGCTGACCCTATAACTGAGGGCTGACATCTGCACCGCAGTGTTGGCTAGGCCGGCTTCCCCTAGTGCGCAGTCATGGCTTCGCAGTGTCTAGCCTGCCCTTGACGATCGCTGCGGTCTTTGGACTTGCCATGTCGTAAGAAGCAAATTTAATTTTTTCGATTGTCTGATTTGTTAAGTGCGGTTTTGAACAGTCCACCAAGCTGCATAAAGTTAACACAAAGATAGTGGGTTGTGCAAAAAGCAGTTCAACTCAAGCGGGAAATCAAGCTTGCACCTAGGCTCTTTCAAGCCAGTTGGGCTGCACCACCAGGATACCGTTTCACAGACAAAGGTCGCGATGCTGGAGGGCGCTGAGGTTAAATGTATTTAGTGGATTTCTTGGCGGAAGGGCTTTACATTGAAGGGTGTCCCCCAAGAGATCCATCGCGCGGCGAAGGAAGAGACGCAGACGCGGCAAAGGACGAGTCGCAGCGCGTGCTGTGCGATATGAAAC